GTCGGCTTTAAATCATAAAGATTTCTATAATGCAGTTCAGTCTATGTAAGCCTTCCCTGATCCTTATGAAAGCTTGTAAGAATAGCAGTTTAACTTGTGCACGACGTTTCGACCGTTCAACGGTCATTTTCAATTTCGGTAGAAGAATAAAATTACAGCATAAATAAACGGTTACAACGCTAAAATATGGAACAATAGGCGATAAAAGTAACAAAAAAGCTTAATGCGAATGGTATGCAAAAAAATATAAAATTATAATTATAAACTAAAAAAATGTGAAGAGAATTAAAAAGCGTTGAAACCAAAAACCTAAACAAGTACTTTCGCACGGAGGGATTCACATTGCTTGTTGAGTTTCGGCTTTAAAATTCTAATAAGAAGCATTTCAATAATCAGACAGTCAAGCTTGCTTTGGCACTTCTTGAGAATTCTAAAGTTCTTTGTTCTTTGAACTGACGTTTCCAAAACTTGCCGTTTTGCCTTTGAGTTTTCGAAGTCAAGTTCATGATATTGAACTTATGGAGCAAGATTATTTCAAGCGGTGACACCATTACCATGCAGCGCTCTTGCATCTGAGGTTTTTGAAAACAGACAGAAGAAGACGCTCCGGTTTCATAAGTTTCACATGTGTGATTTGATGAATATTTGTTCTTAAGCTGCGGATGTCATCGTTCTCTTTAAATATTATTTTACTTTGCGTCTTTTAACATGTACACTGTCACTCAAGAATAGCGAATCTTTGTAATTATTTCTTTGGTAACACGTGGGTAAAATATCATCATTTCATTGTTTTTCCCCCTCGTGGATTTTGTTTACCCTGATACATACATATACAGGACTTAATTCAGGGGTTAAAACTAAAATAAAATCCAAAGAAACACCCTGAAAGGGAGTTTATAAAGAAGTGGACCCTATGTAAAAAATAAGATATGCATTAAAAAGCTAATGCTAAAGTTCCATTACAAATACAAATAAGTGCTAAAAATATTAATTTCAAATTTTGATCACGAAATACGTAAAAACGATTTCAGACCTTTCCTGAACAGATTACCGGCCTTTGCAATATTTGAATTCGATGACCTATTGTTGTTCGAACAGTGTGAATCTTGAAGCAATATAACTTGTTATATATGTTTTCATATATGAATAATCATAGGTATAACACCACTTAAAGCAGTTGATGTAAAATGTTACGCCAAATTCTTCTTTACCTTTCCCCAGGGAGAAGGAACCCATTCAGCGGGGCAGGCTACTTTATAGCAAGCTCTCTGGAGCACCTTTGGCTTTGGTCCCTTGCAGCTGATATCCTTCACGGTTTTATATTCTTCTGGGTTTTGACTGACTTTCGTTCTGCAGGACAGTTTGCGCGTCATTACACCACGTCCGCATGTCTTTGAACAAGAGCTCCATCCAGACAGGTGCCATCTGACACAGAGACAAGTTTAATCAGCGAGACAAAGTAAGCTCACAGTGCGCATTGGCAACGAGCACGAGTCACTCTTAAACAGTACAGCAACATAACGTAAAGAAAAAGAACATAAACGCTTCTAGGCATATCAAGGTAGTCTTATGCTAAAGTTATAAAAAGATATTAACAGCCCAGCGTTATATATTTCCCGTGAAACGTGATGTGAACATACTCTGCTGTACAGGGATGGATATTACAAGGCATCTCATATTGAGGTTTCTTGGATCCTTTTTCACAAATCCTGTCTGCAACTATTGATTGATCATCCTTTCGTTTACACTTTATCAGTCGCGTTTTCTTTCCTAAAGAAACAGACATGCAAATAAAGGAACACACATTGTTAACCAGTTCACAGGATTTCTTTTCCTATCAGGATAGTCCGTAAATTCTCCACAACATAGGTAACTGAGGGGTGCACGAGTCGTGTGCGCAATGCAAGCTACCGCGTCACGAAAAGATTTGTCAGGGCTCGAGGGGGAAGGGGGGAGGGGAACGGCGGCAGAAAGGTACTAACGGCAGTTGAGCACTAACGAGGTGATGACTAAGAGCTAACATAGGTTGCTTAAAGTAGTGTTTCCACTTGCAATTTGATGCATTTCCAAACTATTACGTCAGCCCATGCGATTTCAATCCTTGTGAATTCATCGAAAACGGAAAATTGTGGGAATTCTCCTTTGAAAAGCTGGAAAAAGCGAGCCGAAGAAAGAATGAATAAGGGCAAAGTGCGTACATGTATGTATTGTTTACGTTTTGGTTCAAGTTGGAAAATCGAAAAAAATTATTTAACCTTAAGTGCGAGCAATGCAACAAAACAACTAGCAAATAGTTTTGCAATAAATGTGTGTCTTGAACATTGTGTTATGAAATAGAGTTGCCAAAAACATACGTAGCTTTTACCTCCAGCGCAATCCTCAGAGCACGCTGACCATCCTGTCTTCTCATCAATGATCCACTCAACTTCGCTTGAACTAATCACTGATTTTTGTGGTTTCAGGTATTTACAAACGACTCCTTGGTTTGCACCTCCGTTATAAATGAACTATAAAAAGTGAAAGTGAGATATTAATAAAGGTACTAATCAAAAGAATTGGAAAAGCGATACTTATATGTATGAGTGCATTATACATGTTCACCACTAATGCACTCAGAATGTTAACATTCTGATGTAGCGCGCTCGGTGGCCGGACCTCTTTGGCTTACGTTGTTTAAAAAAAAAAAAA